TGTCAGAGAATTTATATGCTAACTATAACAAAACCCGGTAGTACACTGGTAGTAATGTTAAAATTATAACAACCTCTCGTTAAAGGTATGTTATGCTATATGGATATACATAATTATATACATTCAAATTAATTACACTTTAATTTAAGTACGAGCTAATTAATTTGGAAATATTATTCATTGCCGATAAAAAATCGCATTATGAATATGGTCAGTGAATATTTTAAAAAGTTACCGGAAAAATAATTCTACCATTTTTTTTTTTTTGTTAAACAAGTGGTTCATAATAAAGCAATACTTCATGCAAAATAATATTTGAGAAGTTTTAAATAGCTAATTATTATTCATTCCCCTAAAAATTAGCGAGTTCTGCAAAGTAACAAAAATAAAATTTATAACTATTTTTTCTGAAACACTGAAAATTAATAATTTTATCGAATAAAAGGAACCTTTCAGTTAAAAAATATTAAAAATTTTAATTGAGTAATTTTAATCGCTAATTAGTGAATATAAATTCAAGTAAAGTAAGAAAATATTCACAGTAAGACTTCACTGAAAAAAGTTTTTTTCCACCCAGAATACAAAATATATTTATCCAAGTTTTTTTTGTATCCAATATACGTTCCTTGTAGAGGCTCGAGCGAGTCTAATGTGAAAAATAATATCCTACTTTGAGCTTTGAAATTAAGTATACGTATTAATAAATACGTCATTTACCTAATCCCAAAATTTTAAAAAGATTCACCGTTTAGTTACTTAGATATTTAATTTCAAAAATCCGATTTTTTACCTCCTTATACACGGGCACTTATGGCGGACAAACTGTAGTCGAGACTTTAATTATGTTTTTCAATATTAACCTCCCAACTTTAACGAATAAAAAGCTATACACAAGAAACGTGGATTATTGTAAAATATAAAAAAAATTTAATAATAATACATTACCGATATAATTTTTGAAATATTTAAAGTTAAATTTTATGTTTTTAACTCGTTTATCGTCAGCTATTTATTCGAATAAAGATTTGGCTACGTCGCGTCAACAGCTGAGAAAAAAAGAAAAGGATAGAAATATAGTTACAGATAGAGAAATATTTAACTTATACACTCATCCACGTCTCTGTAATAGGTATAATCAAACGCGCTGTTGCCGAATCTGTTTATTTAATCCGACAAGTAATAAATACGAAAGTCATTTTATTACTTTATTTTATTAAATAAGTAAAAATCATTAATTATTAAATTGTTCAAATTATTTTAAATTAAGATAAAGAATTTTGACGAATATTGGGAAGACTGAAAGTAAAAAAAAATTAGGAAAACGGTTGACCCTAAAGGCCATCCCTGCAACTTCCCGCCAACTCTATATCTAAACGCTTGAAATTGCACTTATGACATTTTTGAGCTCTTCGAGCTCATAAATACAATTTGTGTGTTATTTTGAGCTCTCCGAGCTCAAAAAATAGCTTTTGTATGCTTTCGAGCTCTTCGAGCTCAAAAATTTGATGGGAGTTGGATGAAACACTATTTTTTGAATTTTCAAATCGCAATAACTTTCACATGAATGAACCGATTTTCACGCGGTTGGTGGCATTCGACGCAGTTTTTTAAGCTTCATAAAGAATTTTCAGGTTAAAATTGGAAGAACGCAAAATTTCGGAGTAATTCCGAAAAACACTTTTTTCGGTTTTTTTCGGTTTTCTTTCGTTCGCGCTATCTCTCGAACGAATCAACCGATTTTGACCGGATCAGCGACGATCGGCGTGGTTTTTCAAGCTTAAGGGCGGATTAGTTTTTGAAGTTGATCGATAGAGCCGTTTAAAAGATATTCCAAAAAAACCACGTTCAAAAATGATTTTTTTCTTATTTTTTTTTTAGATTTTTCAAAATTTCTCAAAATCTATCGATCTGAATCGGTTCAAATTCTCAAGAAATCTAAGTTTGATGGAACTCTTTAGAACGCCGTTTGGTTCGTTCCGATCGGTTCAGTCGTTCAAAAGCTATAAGCGAGTCACATAGTCACACACACACATACACACACACACATACATACAGACATAGTGACAACCTCGCGGGGATCGTCAGGGAAGCTTCCTGTGACCTTCAAACGTCGAGATCTGATGAAAACTCGATTTTTGCAAAACGGGGTGAAAACAATAACTTCCCGATTTTTAGCGGGAAGTTAAAAATTTAAATATTATTATATCTAGACTTATTAATATTGTAATAATAAGATATCAATAAGATTCATGATTTTTTTCCATAAAATCGCCATATTAAATGTTCGGAGATGTATCAAGTGTTTCAAGAGGAAGAATGTAACTATTAAATGGTACTTGATTACTCGATCTACCGGTCCAATCAGGAATACGTTTGACAACCTCTCACCATCTATCTACTGAAGCAGAACTATTTACTATTGATTAAATTAATTGAACTAAAATCATCAAAATATTCAATGGAATCGCGAGTACTCTAAGAATTACAGTTACTATCCGTTTACTTTAAAGAAAATCTCTTAGTTAACAAATGCTTGGAACAATAAATGTATTTCCTTTTGTCTAGTTAAATTTCTCTTAGATTCTTTTTCTTGTACCTGATAAAGTTTTTCAATTGAAGCTAAAACCACAATAAATTGTAATATTTTCATTAAACTAAAAAAGCTATTGCTTGTTACAGTTCGAGTCAAAAAAATTGAGTCCCAAGAATAATATTAAAAACACGAAATTTTTTAATCATCTTAGTTAAAACTTATTTTGTGCGAATACTATTTTCACTAATGGTAACAAAGTTCCAAAGTTACAAGTAACTTGAATTTCTGACGGACCACGCTGCTGATTTTTTTTAAAGTAGAAAAATTGAATTTCTTTATCTTAAATTAAGAATAATCTTGTGAAGATAACTTCAATTTTATATAATAAAATATTAATTCATATGAAACAATAAAAACTATCTATAAGATAAATCTTTTGAACGTCTTTCAACATATTTTCTTTGATTTCTTCTATCCTAAAGGATCCCCGGAAACTATTCAAACTAAAAATATTAATCGGCATAAAAGTATGTCATATTTCTATTTCTTATATGATTAAAAAACTGAGTTGAAAAATTCATAAAAAGCCATCTACTGTAATTTAATTAATTACATTTTTTTAAAAATAAATATTAAATAGAAAGATCTGGTTTAATTAAATAAAACATCAAACTATGTAAGCAATAATTTATAGCTACCCTCAATCTTTCAAATTTCCGTAGCTGGTTCGAAGTTTCTGCTGACGAGGTACTAAGGTAATTGCTCGGTTATATTAGATTTATCCTTAAAAGTTATATCTTCTTGAATTTATTGACATTCTTTATTAAATCTCTTAATTTATATAAACACTACTCGCTTTTAAATTTATAAAAACTTAAACAATAAACTACGATTTTCATAAGCTTACATTTTTTACACCGATCTAGAGATATTCGGCTTAGGAAAAAAGGTACGAGCTTTAAACGCATTTGAAGTTATGGCCCGTAAAATTCAGAGAAAGAACGTTCTTTCTTTCATATTTGTATTAAGCAAACTTTATTATAGATCTAAAGTCTCAAAATTTATGAAATTTAACTTGCTAGTGCTCAAATTTATGAAAAGTTTCAGAATTTTAAGGTGAGAATATTAAGTTATTGTTTTTCTGTAAGAATAGCTTCTCTACCCGATTTCAGTTCGTAAAACTAAACACCTTCCCAATTTTTGAAAATTATTGATCTCAATAGCGGGAAGTAAGTTCAAGAAAAATATTTTTATAAAAATGTTAGTCTTGTTTCAAAACTTTGTGCTAGTGCCGCTAAAACTTACAAAATTATCATCTTTCTGAACTTTCTTTGAGAAAAAATTTTTAACTTTCTCAAAATTTCAAGCGGATACGTTTTTTAGCTGCAACTTAATATTTTGAACGGATAAATAACTAATTGAAACAACAGAATAACCAAAATAACAGTACAAAAGTTACTATCCAATGATTGGTGTCAATTGGAAGTCAAGTTGGCTACAAATCCAGAATTTTCAAATATTGCTGTTAGATTGACGCCAATCTGCTCACGCAATTTGGTGCCAGTGTAAGGGGCAGATTTTAGGCAAGCTGACTGCAAAAGTTGGAAAGGCAGAATCTGCTGTCAGTCTGCATCCAAATAGCCATCAATGGGCCTATGTTCAGCCGAATTAAGTTTACTCAAGATTTAGTTCGGCCAAACAGACCCAATATTCGGCATTCTGGCTTAGCCTGACTTGTCCATTTTTCATTGATAAAACAGGAAATTCTATAGTTTCTGCAAATCTGCATGCAGCTTGCAAGCATATAAAGCACAAATGTTGCGTTCTAACTTTTGCAGTCCGTCTGTCATCAATCTGCTTCTCAGATTGACACCAAACTGCGTTAACAGATAAATGTCAGTTTACTATTTAGTGCTCTGATAGCCACCTCATACTATAAGTTCTTGTAGATAAGTTAGCGACAAGTTATCGTTAAGTTAACGTCAAGTCTACAAATGCTCATCCTTATATGCAAGTTGACAATAAGATAGTGCCGATATTTAAAAACAAGTTATCTATAAGCTTATAATAAACTTGAATAGAAAATTTCGGCAACTTAACGGCAATTGTTTCAATACAATTCATTGAAGTAAAGTTGACCATACTTTTACAATAACTTGTAGATTAACAGTTATTGCCAACCTACTTTTCGTCAAGTTATCTCTAATTCGCGGCACTAGGTTATCTAAAAGTTGTAGTATGAGGCGTCAAAAAATTTGATATTACCTACTGAAGATAATAAAGTGAACAAAATTACCGACTGAAGATACAAATTTCTTAATCCAAGACTTCCAAGTTGAAGATAATTCTTTAAAAATGGTTGATGTGAAAGAAAAAAGCAATACTTTATTGGTAGCATTCCCTTTCCAAAAATAAAAATAAATTGGCGTTTTACGTACAATATCACCGATCTACCTACGATAAAATATCAGCCAAGATGCAGCAGCCGACGGAAGGCGCGTCTGTAATCAAGATTGAATATCGTGTAAATAAGTGGATTAAGCGCGCTGTTGATATACCCCAGCCACGTGATGAAATAAACCATCCTTTCAGAAGGACAGCAAGCGGGGCAAAAGGGAACAATTACGTACATAAGAAAAAAGGGTAACCAACACACAACAAAAACACCCATTATAACCCCTAAAGTGCGCGCAGCGCGTCTTTCCTTCGATAGTGAAATTCTCTGACGCTCTTCAATAAACTGATAAACCGTCGTGGTAGTAGTGGTAGCGTTAGCATTCGCAGTAGTGACTGTAGCAGCAGGATGCTTTTCACGCTTTCCACCGCGACATGGCGTCATGTTGAGCGTCACTTCAGTAGCGGCGTCATCTTCGACTACAACTAAGCTCGGCTTTCCATGAACGCGCGTCGTCACAGTTCGTTCATTGTGATTGGTCTCGCTGCTTACCGACTCTTCAGCGTCATCTGGGTCATGGCTGCCGCCAGCGTTGTCCCTACCACCAGTCCCACCAGGACCGGACCCACCAGGGCCTGCGCCGCCTTTATTTTTTGTGGACGAAACGACGCCAAAGCGACTCTGACGTGCTCTTTCGCGCAAGCGACGTCGCGTTGCGAGGAAAATTTCTAAGTAGACGAGACTCATCAGCAATAGGGGAATAAAAAAGGAGCCTAGCGATGAATATATTACGTAACCTTGTCGCTGGGTCAATTGACATGGTGTCCCGGGTTCTATTTCTTCAGGCCAATCGTTCCACCCGGCCAACGGTGGCGAACTTATTGCGCCAGAAAGTATCCAAACACCGGCAATTGTCGCCAATACACGCTTCAATGTCCGTTTTTGAGCGTAATTTATTGGATCGGTTATCGCCCAGTAGCGATCCAGGGCTATGGCACACAAATTAAGTATACTTGCCGTACAACACAATACGTCGCATGTTAACCATAATTTACATAAATGGATCCCGAAGATCCACTTTCCCAAAAGTAAATACGCTACGTTGAACGGCATCACTAGAATGGCTACCGCCAAATCGGCGACTGCCAGCGATACTATGAAAAAATTTTGGACTATACGTAATGGCCGGTATGTGAACACTGACAGTATCACTAAGGCGTTCCCTAATACTGTTGCTAATACTAAAAATCCCAGGGTCAGTGATGCTGCCGCTGCCTCCCATGATGGCAAGTTAGCTCCCGTGTCTTCTTCACTGCTGGTACAACTTTCAGAGTAGTCATCGCTGGACATTGTTCCGCCGGATTCCCCGCTTGCGTTCATTCTCGTCTTATGTTATTCTGAAAACAGAAAAAGTTTTTGTTGAATTTTTGCGATTTGAGGTTGAAATTTTGTATAATAGCAGGAATTGTGGAGCAGAAGATCAGTGACGGGTGTTTGACCTGATTTAATTTAGGAGAAGAATTTACTTCAGTGGAAAATTGGGCGCTTTGATCTCCAACGCTACAAATTAAAGTAAAAGTTAATTGTGGAAGTTAAATGAAATGCAAATTAGAGATAAAATTTGTAATTTGGCTACTGTTTGTTGCAATTTTCTCTAATTAATTAAACTTTTTGTTAAAACAGAAATCTTAAGCTGTTTCTTAAGCAAATTTTTATTATTTCATTTATTTTAAAGGCCATTTCTGACTATATATAATTTATAATTTGTTTTTGTTTAAAAATTACGATATTTAAATAAGAATTTCTTGAACTGAATGAAACAGTATGAAAATGCGTTAGTTTTTATAATTCCATTTGGATATAATATATTGTTCTGAAAAATTGAAGTTATCTTTACAAGATTATTCTTAATTTGAGACAAAGAAATTCAATTTTTCTACTTTAAAAAAAATCAACTTGTAACTTTGAAACTTTGTTACCATTATTGAAAATAGTATTCGCACAAAATAAGTTTTTACTAAGCTGATTAATAAAAGTCCGTTTTCTTGGATATTGCTCTTGGGACTCAATTTTTTTGACCCGAACTGTAACAAGCAATAGCTTTTTTAGTTTAATGAAAATATTGCAATTCATTGTGGTCTTAGCTTCAATTGAAAAACTTTATCAGGTACAAGAAAAAGAATCTAAGAGAAATTTAACTAGAAAAAAGGAAATACATTTATTGTTCCAAGCATTTGTTAATTAAGAGATGTTCTTTAAAGCAAACGGATAGTAACTGTAATTCTTAGAGTACTCGCGATTCCGTTGAATATTTTGATGATTTTAGTTATATTAATTTAATCAGCAGTAAATAGTTCTGCTTCAGCAGATAGATGGTAAGAGGTAGTCCAACGTATTCCTGATTGGATCGGTAGATCGAGTAATCAAGTACCATTTAATAGTTATATTCTTCCACTTGTATGTACTCAAATAAAAGGTCTCGATGAGTGTAACATCGGGATGAGATTATTTCTTTAGAAATGTCAATAGTTCACAAGATACAAGGTCATTTCTCAATTATATGTTTAGAGATAGAGCATTTTCGAATGCAACCTAAATACTTATCATCATAAATTGACTATCGACGAGAATGATATGAAACCTTGAAAAGACACAAATTCAAGTCAAGTTCTTTGCAATGACACTAAATTTTACTAAAAAAATCGATTTCATCATATGACTATCCAGAAGACAAAAATTGTTATTATTCTTCTACTAATATAAATTATTATTACAGTCGAACCTTGATAAGTGACAACTAGGTAAGTGAAAACTGGGCAAGTGTATTATTTAATTATTATTGTTGTTTCAACTATTATTGCCTGCCACATGAAAATCATCTATCTGCCACAGGAATGTATCATGTGGCAGCCCCAATTTTTTTTTTCCGTGTAGGATTTAAACCTATATTCAAAATTTCAAAATTTCGAGATTTGAGCACACTACTTCATATTATAAAGAATTAGGCTGGTGAAAACTTAACGCAAGAAGAAATTATTTCATAGCTTGTCTATTTTATAAAGAAATTAAATTAAATTATAATCAATTGTTTAGATCAAAATTAGAATTTTTGTCAATTGCATTGAGGAGAGGTGACGTCAGGAATGACTATCTGCGTTTGCCAAAAAGTAATTATGCTATCTATGATAATTCTTTCCTAATTCATGGCATAAAAATTTGGAATTCATTACCGGCAGATATTACAGAAATTGACACCTTTGAAAATTTTAAGCAAGCTTGTTTTAATTTCTTCTTGCCATCAATATAATTACCATTGATCTTATAATTTAATATGATAGTTATTAATTAATGTCGGTTTTCAAATTGTATTGCAAACGCTGTATCAAATGTATACTTGTAAATAATTAACTTTATGTATTGTTGATGGTCCTGAAGGAGCTTAGAACTCCAGGATCAAATAAAATTTATTATCTATCTATCTATATATTGTGGGAACCATTCCTATACTATTATGGGAATAGTTCCCATAAATTATGGAAACCATTCCTATAATAGTATAGGAATTATTCTTATAGCATTATGGAACCATTCCCATAATGGTATAGGAATAGTTCCCATAATTTTCTTTCCGTGTAGGACAATATTTTAGAGATGTTGTAGAATTTAATAAAACATTAAAAAAAAATTAGGAAAACGGTTGACCCTGAAGGCCATCTCTGTAACTTCCCGCCAATTCTATACCTATACGCTTGAAATTGCACTTATGACGTTTTAGAGCTCTTCGAGCTCTTAAATACAATTTGTGTATTATTTCGAGCTCTCCGAGCTCGAAAAAATAGCTTTTGTATGCTTTTGAGCTCTTCGAGCTCAAAAGTTTGATAAAACACTATTTTTTTTATTTTCAAATCGCAATAACTTTTGAATGAATGAACCGATTTTCACGCGGTTGGAGGCATTCGACGCAGTTTTTTAAGCTTCATAAAAAATCTTTGAGTTTATATCGACAGAGTGGAAAAATTCGGAGTAATTCCGAAAAAACGCTTTTTTCGGTTTTCTTTCGTCAACGATAACTCACGAACGAATTAACCGATTTTGACCGGACTGGCGGCGATCGACGTGGTTTTTTGACGTTAAGAGCTGATTAGTTTTTGAAATTGATCGGTAGAGCCGTTTAAAAGTTATTTTAATATCTAAGTTTGGGCAAGCCCTTTTGAATGGCGCCAACCGCGATCAAATCGGTCAAGCCGTTCAAAAGTTATAAGAGGTTTACATACATCGGTTCTGTAACAGTTCAACCGCGGACATTTCAACCGCGACAGTTCAACCGCGACATTTCAACCGACGACTTTTCAACTGAAGGACAATTCAACCGCAAGACAAATCTATGATAATAGGGCACAATAATCATTTTTTTATTTTTGAAATACTGCGAAAAAAACTTTATAATTGTGATTATTAGTATTATTATTATTACATATCTTGAAATGCAACAAAAACTACATTTCTGACCGTTTTTTATATATTTAAAAACGAAATAACGAATATACAGTAATGTTAGATGACGATTAATTTAAATAATATCATGATAAATTACAACGACAAAATAGACGCAATATCATGAAGATACTTCAATTTATTTGTAGATTTATAGTCAGCAACGATATTATGAACACAAACGCGGGTAATTGTGTTGCGCCCTTTTAACATGGTTTTTGTGTGTGTTTACTCAGTAATAGGCCATTACAAACGCGGGTAATCATGTTGCACCCTTTTAACATGGTTTTTGTGTGTATTTATTCGACATTAGACCAACACAAATGCGGGTAATCGTATTGCGCCTTTTTAACATGGTTTTTGTGTGTTTACTTAGTAATAGGCCATTACAAACGCGGGTAATCATGTTGCGCCCTTTAAACATGGTTTTTATGTGTGTTTATTCGACATTAGACCAACACAGAAGCTTGTTACCGTGTTAGGCCCATTTATCATGGATTTTGTCATCAATTTATCAGAAAAACTGCAGTTAAACTGTCATCGGTTGAATTGTCTTGCGGTTGAATTGTC